AAAAAAAGGTCAAAAAAAGTATACTTTTTTCGACTCAATTTGGAACGAGAGATTTGGTCGTTCCAAATTGAGTCAAAAAAAGTATACTTTTTTTGTGCTTTTTCAGAAACTTGTGTTCTCAGTCACAGAAAAAGGATAACAAAAGTATACTTTTGGTACATTTCTATATTTGACCAAGGTACATAAAAAGTATAATTGGAAGTACAAAAAAAGTACTTTCTTAAAACTATTAAACATATTTAAGTACAAAAAAAGTATAATTCCAGAAAAAGTACAAAAAAAGTATACTTCGAGAAAAAGTACAAAAAAAGTATTCTCCTTGAAAAAGTACAAAAAAAGTATACTTCTAGAAAAAGTACAAAAAAAGTATTCTTCCAGAAAAAGTACAAAAAAAGTATTCTTCCAGAAAAAGTACAAAAAAAGTATACTTCTAGAAAAAGTACAAAAAAAGTATTCTTCCAAAAAAAGTACAAAAAAAGTATACTTCTAGATAAGTACAAAATTGTATGCTAAAAAGGTGTAAAAAAGTACAAGAAAAGTATACTTCCAGAAAAAAAGTACAAAAATGTATGCGAAAAAGTACAAAAATGTGTGCAAAAAGGTACAAAAATGTATGCAGAAAAAGTATTTAGAAAGTACTTCTTTTAGATTGATGGTTTAAAAAGAACAAAAACGCATTCAGATCTGATATACCAAAAAAATTAAATCTCTTTTTTAACTTACAGAATTGTTATTCAAAAGCATGAAATTTTGACAGTCCATGAAATCATTATTTTCAGTTCTATAAATCTTCCATAAATAATTAGAGAATAAATTGGAATATAAAATCATCAACAAGATTATATATATAATTTTATAGAATAACAGTTTTTAATCCTTTTGCGTCTAGTCACTACATGGTTGGAATCTCGAGGTAGGGGTGTTCCCAACCCCCCAAACTGAAATTGCATCCTACAGGCTTGTCCTGTACATGGATTTGTCACTGATTGATCACACTCACAGATCGCCTACACTCCTAAGTCTATTCACCCAATCTTTCTCTCTGTGATCTTCATTTGAATATGCTATGTGGTTTAACCCTTCAACATGTTCTAAGCACTTTTCCTTGGGTTCTGCAAAAAAAGTTTAATAATCAATTTTTTTCAGTTCTAAATTAAACATCAAAGTTCTCAAAAAGCAGAAGTATAATTCATAAGCTAATACATGGCAGACTCACATAGTACATGCATCATATTATTACCAGTTTGATATGATTTTTAAAATTTTTTTATTTTACAAAGTCAGACTACATTTAAATTTAAATTTTATGCCCTGTTCACACGGAGAGTTTAATTCGAATTAAATGTAAGTTTACTGTGAATTAACTTCGCTTAGCGTTCACACAGAGAATTTAGTGCAAATTAGTTTACTTCGAATAAGTTTACTGCGCATTAAATTACTTCACATTAGCTCTGTGTGAACGCTTGGCAAAGCTAATTCGAACTAAATTCTGACGCATGCGTAATAGCAAAATTTAGTCAAATGCCACTTGTGCTATTTTTGAGTGAAAAACTAAGGAAAATTTTGTTTATCATAAAATCAGACACTTTGCCATCATGTCAAATGGATCTGCGTCAGCATAAGGTGACGTGATTTGCAAATGACGTCATAATAGCCGTGCTGCAGAAACAAAATTCGCATTAGTTTACTTCGCATTAGCTGTCGTGTGAACGCAATTTTACTCGTATTAGTTTGATTCACATTAGTTTACTTCGCATTTACTTGGCATTAATTTACTGCAAATTAAACTCTCCATGTGAACAGGGCATTAATATACTTACTGGTGATATGATACAGTTATATTGTTGAGGTATTTTCCCATAGCTCTGCATTTAAGTCACAGTAAAAAAGGAACTTCTGAAAATTATAGAAGAAAATCAGATAACTTGAACATGCATGTTGAAAGATTAAGATTACTCTAAAATTAAATTTTTAAGTTTCTTTGAAAAAAAACCCTGTCTATATTCCTCATGTTATATAACTTGCAATTTACATGTTTAGAATTAAAAAAAGTATTCATGTGTGTCAATATTGAAGCAACCCCCCCCCCCCCCCCCCATTTGAAGTTCTTTTCAGCCTCGAAAGATGATCAGTACATCTTAAGTGATAACTAACAAGTGCAACTTAAAATTTATCAGATGCATGTAAATGCTGATACTTAAAATGCCTTTTTATCATGTTCAATCCCCCAGTATTAAATTTATTTGTATTGACTTACCCCCCCCCCCCCTTTTTCAATCTCAACCCCACCTCACACACACTATATCATGCTATATACATTCTGCCTAGCCTTTTAACAAACATCCGTTTATTTGTTTAACAAACTTTAAATCTTACAAAATTCAGTAGACTTAGTGTTTTTTTAATTATGCTAAGACTTATAGCTAGGCTACAAAAATGTTTGTACGTAGGCCAGTGAACGTTTCCAAATACTGAGCAGTGCTCATTGTATTATAATCTTACTGCATAAATATCATATTGAAACATTTTAGGAATTAAATATGACAAGTTATTAAATGATTCATGTTTCACATAGTCTAAGAAAAAGCATGTTCCATTCAATTAATTCAAATGTAAATTTACATTGTCATACCGATCAAAACAAACCAGAAATCGAAAACACAAATTCCCACATTATGTAAAATCTATATGGAAATTCTTCGTTAAATACGTTTCTATAGTGGTGAAATGCATTTCCTACAAACATTATCCAAATTTTAAACATAAATATAGCCTTACCGACTTCAAAATCTCTATTTTTGGTCTCAGCATTTCAATCACACCAATTTTCAAATCGTCCCCGGAAAAATCCGCGCTTCGTTGTTGACCAATCGTTGACTTTGAAAGAGTCACGTGATTAAAAAAATAAATAAATAAATACAGAATTAGTTCATAAAAACATCAGAAATTCTCTTAATAATGTTTTTAAAATCATTAAATTTATTTTGAAGCCGTTTTTTGTGCAGTACTTGATATCTAGCTTTACCACAATTGTGACCGCCATATTGTGTAATAATCGTCGCCGCCATTTTGTTTGTTTGTTTTTTTGTTTTCAATAAATTATCGAGTTCAATTTGTAAAGCCACAAGAAATTTTGAATTTGTTAACTGCAAAAATCCTAATAAAATTTACAGTCTTCAATCTCAATGTCGAAATATCTTGTATGCAGGCAGCTTAGACGTTTGCACATGCTACTTATATTTCGTGCATTGTTTATACCCGTAAACATGATGAAAGTTCTTCGTGATAATAAAACGATAGACATGGTGCATCTTGGAGGCTTTTATATTAATATTCGTTCCTTGCTATTTCCGTTTATTAGAACTACACTTAGGTGACACTTAATTATCAACTAAATATATCAACTATATTTTCCCTTATTAATTTAAGATGTATTTCTCAATATTATACTTTCATGTAAATTACTTGAATCTGATTCGTCGAGAAACATTTGATAAAAAACACTACTACCCGCTGAATAATGAAGTCACGCCCTCCTGCGTAGCATTTCAGTCAACATTGCTTGACGACGGGTGGTATTACAAAAAATAGCGACTGCGCGGAATTTTTGCGCACACGGTTCACTGTAATATGTATTTGTATAAAACATTCAGTATAATATAATAAATATTGCATGTAGTTGAGTGTAACATTGAAAATTTTCACCCCTCGAAAACCATTGTCAACCTCGGCTGCGCCTCGGTTGACAATGGTTTTCTTGGGGTGAAAATTTTCAATGTTACACTCAACTACATGCAATATTTATACAATACTCGATTTCAATCCATTTTGTTTACCACATAGTCAAAATTATCGCGTGTGATTTCGTTTTCCCAGAAACTTCTTGTGAATTTATGTGTATGTTTCCACTGCACCGTCTAGACAACAAAGGTCACCGAGTACAACCACCTGTGTCATTTGAAATAAACATCGTTTGCAGAGAGAGAGAGAGAGAGAGAGAGAGAGAGAGAGTGAGATGTAAAATGTAAAGCAAGCAGAATACTTGTTCATGTAAATTACTCCCTTTCCAAAAATTTTACCTTTAAATAATTTAATATTTCCACAGCCAGAGAGAGAGAGAGAGAGAGAGAGAAAGAGAGAGAGAGAGAGAGATAGAGAGAGAGTTATTTCTGTACAGATTTACGATGTAATTTCCATCAGGTTTACTAAATCTTGATGATTATAATGAGTTTAGGACATAATTCTGTTAAACATAAAATGGACAGAGCATGACAGAAATACAAATACATTTGACTGTAACTGTATTAAACACCCCCTTTTCCCTGCAACAAATACGCAAGTAAATTAAATAGCCATATATTATATATACTCTTATGCTAACACCATAGTTGAATTCTGAATGCTCACATTAGAATAAAACTTTCCTAAATCATTAGAATAATTTAATAAATATTTTTATATGAACAAATTGCTAACTAATTTCATAAATTTTTTATAAAATTTCAAAAATAATTTGAACACAATGGGAAAAAAACTAAGTCCAAATTAGGTACATAAAAAGTACATCCTTATTTTTCTGATTCTGCCCAAAAAGTTTAAGTCCAAGAAAAGTACATTTTTAGTACATTGAGAAAAAACTAAGTCCAAATGAAGTACAAAAAAAGTACAGTGGAAAAAAACTAAGTTCTATAAAGTACAAATAAAGTACTGTGGAGAAAAACTAAGTTCAAATAAAGTACAAAAAAAGTACATCAGCTTTCAGAGGCTCTCTGGCCAAGTACAAAAAAAGTATACTTTTTCTGACCTTTTTCTAAAAAGCACAAATTTAATACTAAAAAAGTACAATAAAAGTATACTTTTTTGTACTTTATTTCGGTATGGGAAGGTACAGTCAAAGGTCAAATATTGTGAAATCGCTCATTTTTGTGGGGGTTTAATTTTCGTGGTTTTTGAGGTATTAACGGACCCATGAATTTTTGACCACCACAAAATGTAATTTTTGACAAATATATTACTACTCAATAATTCTTCATCCATGATATTAAATCCCCATGAACCCATATTTTTTTCCTCAAGCCACAAAAATCTGACCCAACTAAAATATGTGATTTTACAGTAGCTATTTTTATGATACCTGCAGTAATGTACCTCTAATAAATATTGGTAGGTATAGAAAGACCTTGCATCATATACTAGTAATTTAATAATAGATATGCCATGAAATACTTGGATAACTTAAAAGTTAAAACACACACATGTATATAATCAAAAGATTTATTTGAATTACATGTAAAAAAAAAAAAAAAAAAAAACATAAATAATCAAAGTTTACAGAGACAATGAATGTTGTCTTTAGGTAAGGCAATGGGATGTCCAGATTAATGTTTGTGAAGCAGCTAGGTTAAAGGTTTTGTTCCAGGTAAATGTTTTTGTACAAGTCTTATTTCCAAGTAACTATGTACTGGTATAAGCCCTATGCTGATCAAACTTGCATGGACGATACACCTAAGGATCTAAGGCAAAGTCCCACATTAAGCTAATAATCTAGTAGTGAACATCCCAAGATGTAATCTAAATCCAGCATCTGAAGCAAGTTTGAGAGTGATTTTAGATGAATGCTTTGATGCATCATCCATGCAAAGGTTCAGATAGGCCATATGGTTTCTTAGTTATAGACCCGGATCCTAAAGTTTAACCTGATCCATTATCTGGAAAAGTATGTCAGATCCAGTATCTAAAGCAAGTACACTTTTGTGCATCCTTTAAGATGCATCATCCGTGCAAGTTTTGTTTTTAGTTATTTTAGAATGAACCTGATCCAAAGACATTAACCTGTTTACTCATCCAGAAAATGTAGGTCAGATCCAGTATCCGAAGCAAGTACATTAGTATACATGCATCCTTAGATGTATCATTCATGTAAGTTTGGTCAACATAGGATTTATAGTTACTTGGAAATAAGACCAGTGTCAAAAACTTTAACCTGTTCACTCATTTGGAAAATGCAGGTCCGATTCTAGCATCCTAAGCAAGCCTGGTAGTGTGCATCCTTAGATGTATCATCCATGCAAGTTTCATCAGCATAGAGTTTATACCAGTACATAGTTACTTGGAAATGAGACTTGCATAAAAAACATTAACCTGCAACAAAAACTTTAACCTAGCTGCTTCACAAACATTAATCTGGTCATTCCATTGCTGATATTGCAGCATCTGAAACCTTGACTGGTACAACTGAAACTCAGTAGAAGCATCCTACATGCATCTCTGACTAATGTAGGGCAAAAACGTACTTAAAAAGAAATTGCACAAAAACTTTAACCTCCAGGGAAGCCAAAGCAAACACTGACGCAAAGGGCATCATATTACCTCCTCACAATTTCGTTGATTTGAGTTAAAAAGTGAAAACACTGCGTGTTACTTATTTCTAAACTAGTTCTCTGTGACATATGAGTGAAATTTATTTCTCAATACAATAATTGCCTATATTAACAGAAACTTTTATAGAATCCACATAATGAATGGTAATATGATAATCAAAGCAAGAGATTTGTTTTCTCGATAATTTGATCCACAATTTCAGCTGGAGGCACTTTGATGTCCACTTGGATACATTTTTCATCTATGGTTGGAATTTCTAGAGTAGCTAACTGAGAGTCTAGTAGAGAGGGCGGCATGAAATGACCAAAGCGACTGTTTAATCTGCCCTGGATCACCGCCCTGTCACCATGTAAAAGGACAAACAAAATGTCAGGAATCGGATCCTCAGATGAACAACCATTTACCAAGACATCTCTGTACACTTTCTTTAGTGCTGAGCAAGTAACAACACCAGATTTCCCCTCTTTTGACAATCTGAAAAATGCATGTACATAGGTAATTATATTAGTTCTGAGACTGCATAAATTGTTAAAACATGAAATGGGGTTATGTTAAAGTTTGATTGACTACAAGTTGTAATTACATATAATTAGTTCTTAACTTGCTTACCCTTTCATGTACTTGTTTATTGCTAATAACCATGGAAGTCTATCCTATATCAGAAATAAAAGGATTTATCTACACTTAAAACTTGAAAAAAAAGAACATGCAAGAACAAGCTATACATGCAAGAAATAAATATTGTAAAACTAGGTCATCTTTAAAAAAAATCTGTTTCTTGGCATGCCCTCTCCCAACCAACTGGCAAAAAAATGACATGACTCAAAACTTATTTTAACCTCCAAGGAACAATTTTTTTAATGCATTCTGGGAAAGTAGATCTTGTAAATTCAACATTGATGTTGATATTTTTTTGGAGGAAAAAATTCCAGTCTTCCTAACATCCAATTCTTTTCATCCTGAGTCAGCAGAGGGCAAACAAACAATATTATAAAGTTGGCCTTATCCAGGTGTTTCAACTTCATAGCTCACCTGGTCAGTCAGAGGGATTCCATTAGACATTTTCTCTTTGTTTTCTTTGGAGTGAAACTCATCCGCATCTCTAAATGGCAGTCCTAGCTATAAGATAACATAAAGGGAAAAAAAATTAAGCTGATTCATGTTTCTTTCTCTCTTTAATGAGTTACTGTTTGTTTGTTTGTACATGCATGTATATATCTCTTCAAGAATTTTCACTTGTGTCAAGATGCCATAACTTGTCCACAGAAAGCTGCAAATTTAGACCTGTACTCCTCATTTAGGGCCTTTGAGTAGTGGACATCAGTTAATATGATCCCATCAAAAGGATCTGTCTCCAAGTTCCATTTTGGAATTCAAACCCAGGACCTAAGAACTCCCTACTCCACAACTCTAGAGGAAATACTGTAACCACTATCCCATGTAAGTGACTCATAAAGTTGATGCAAGCTAGGTATTGGCTTTCTATGCAAAAGAGCTACATTTAAAAAAATATATGAGATTTTCTCTGTTATTCTAAAGAAGGATTAAACTTACTTTTTTGAATATTCTTGGTACATATGCTCATATTGTGGTATTAAGAGCATTTAATCCACATGAATTATGACATCATTGTTCTTTACCACCAATTATTTTGAAAAATCTGATGAGCAAGACAATAATGTCACTAATTATTTAAAACTTTTTTAAAAACTCCCCAAGAGAATAAAGTATGTAATTAGATAAACACAAGATTTAATAATATTGTAATATATCACTTGATTTGTAAACGTAATATTATGCGGTCGTCCAGTTCTCATTCTTGTTAAATCTATGTTCAACATGTGCCTGCCAGAAAAGTTGTTCGTTTATGATTTTATTGAAAACAAGCAAATTCAAAGAATTGTGGTCCCCCGCTTTCGGTGTCTTTGTTGGTGAGATGTTATTTTTTTTTATGACATTTTGTGTCTAATATGAACATCCTATCATATGTCATTTCTTAGAAATTATCTTTGAAGTTGATTTTTTTTGAAGGATGAAAACCCTTATCCTGACCGTTAAAAAGTTATGGCCAAAGTTAACGTTTTTTAAAAGTAGGTCAACTCCAAGGTCAAGATCAAAGGGTCAAAGTTGTTGATGAAAGGTTTTCTCACAAGGATTACATATGTGAAGTATGAAAGCCCTAGCCCTTGCCGTTCAAAAGTTGTGATCAAGGTTAAAGTTTTTACATAAGTACGTAAATCTTTAAGGTCAAGGTCAAAAGGTCAAAGTTGTTGATATCCAATGAAAGAACTTGCCACAAAGAATACATATGTGAAATATAAAAGTCCTAGTATCTACCGTTCAAAAGTTGTGACCAAAGAAAGTTTTTTTTAAAAGTAGTTAAAACTCCAATGTCAAGGTCAAACGGTAAAAGTTGTTGGCATCCAATGAAAGGTCTTCTCAAAAAGATTTCATATGTGAAGTACGAAAGCCCTAGCCTTCACCGTTCAAAAGTTATTTTCAAGGTTAAAGTTTTTTCATAAGTATGTAAATCTTCAAGGTCAAGGTCAAAATGTCAAGGTTGCTGGTATCCAATGAAATGTCTTGCAACAAGGAATACATATGTGAAATATAAAAGTCCTAGTATCTACTGTTTAAAATTTGTGACCAAGGATAAATTTTTCAAAAAGTAAAGCTCCAAGATCAAGGTCAAAGGGTAAAAGTTCTTGGTATCCAATAAAAGGTCTTCTTACAAGGATAACATATGTGAAGTACGAAAGCCTTAGTCCTCACCGTACAAATCTTATGATCAAGGTTAACGTTTTTTCATAAGTACGTAAATCTCCAAGGTCAAGGTCAAAAGGTCAAAGTTGTTGGTATCCAATGAAAGGTCTTGCCACAAACAATACAATTGTGAAATATGAAAGTCCTAGTACCTTCCATTCAAAAGCTATGGCCAAAGTAAAAGTTTGAATTTTCTGTGTAAAAGTGGGTCAAACTCCAAGGTCAAGGTCAAAAGGTCAAATTTGGTGGTACCCAAAGAAAGGTCTTGTCACAAGGAATACACATGTGAAATATGAAAGTCATAGCTCTACTAAATCAAAAGTTATGGGCAAGGTTAAAGTTTTTGTGACGGACAGACTGACGGACAGACAGATAGACGAATGAGATTTAATGTCCCCTCGCTTTCGCGAAAGCGGGGGACAATAATATGTCAGCTTATCTAGATACGATTTTAGTAATAGCTATTATCATCATAATTTACCTGTTGTCGCTTCATGTAATATCGTAGGAGTTATAATATCGGGGAATAGAGGGTGGATTTTACATTTCATGTTTTGGAAGCCATCATACTTTACTCGGATCGTCATTTCCGGTTTGGTGACCTATATGTATTTACTAGTAATGCATTGTTCTATTGAATTTATGAATATGGGATCGTATTCTACTTTTTAGTTTGAGTTGTTTTGTGATTTGAAGCTACAAGTTGTTATTTATTGTTAGCATTCACTTTATAATCAGTCAGCTTTATCGGGACTACATTTGTGTACGCTAGTGTCGGTAGTTACGATATTTATACGCTACATTGTTCTGCATATATTGTACAGTCTAGGGATGTTTTATAAACATTGAAGGAATTTATTAATTCGTCTAGTCAAGCTTATTTTATGTGTTATATTTCCACTTGTTAATTTTACATAGTTTTACTAGTTACGATGTTGTACGGTAGCTTGTGTGGCAGAAGTAGTTCTGTGTGGGAACTTGTGTGGGAACTCAGCCTCCCGTACAAGCTTTTGATTGGTTAATAGTTCATACGGCATAATTTCATTGGATAATTTGAGTCATGTGACAGGGAATGGGAGGTTATATAAGCGAGCGCGTACTACGTTACGACAGATTTCAGCTAGTTGTATGGCGGCTATATTTGAAAGTAAAAAAGAAAGAAAGTACGTAAGGGTTGCCCGCAACCCTGTGTCTCGCCTGCTGTCGCTGTGGTTAGTAAGAAATGATTGTCTGATAAACTGAAGCATTTATTGACATTTCAGAAGGAATAACTCAAAAATACAATAATAAAGAAATGGAACAGCTGACTTAATATCTAATCCCTTGGCGATTATATTGGCATTTATATATATATACATATACCCTGTAAATTCACAAATTATTGTGATGTTTTTATTATTGCGAATATTGCAACGTGTTATGAGTCGCAATAATTTGAACTTGCATTTTGAAATCAAATCCACTGTATATGTATCAAGTCATTCATGCAGAAAATGTAGGTGAAGATTACCTAATTATGGTACTGATATTGTTGGTTACCCATGATGTGTAGACTGACAAATTATCATGCCACTATAAGTTATAGTTGCTGAGATATGGACCTCCACCATAAATTTATGCAAAGTCACTCATGCGGAAAAATGTAGGTCAAGATGACCTAATTCTGGTACAGGCGTTTGTGGTTACCCATGATGTATCCACTGACAAATTATCATGCCACTATAAGTTATAGTTGCTGAGATATGGACCTCCACCATAAATTTATGCAAAGTCACTCATGCGGAAAAATGTAGGTCAAGATGACCTAATTCTGGTACAGGCGTTTGTGGTTACCCATGATGTATCCACTTACTAACTATCATGCCACTATAAGTTATAGTTGCTGAAATATGAACCTCCATTATCAATTTAACCAAAGTCATTCATGCAGAAAAATGTAGGTCAAAATGACCTAATTCTGGTACTGATGTTGTTGGTTACTTATAACCTGTACAATGACAAATCATCATGCCCTTATAAGTTATAGATGCTGAGATATGGACCTCCACCAAAAATTTAACCAAAGTCACTCATGCAGAAAAATGTAGGTCAAGATGACCTAATTCTGGTACTGACGTTTGTGGTTACCCATGATGTATCCACTGACTAATTATCATATCCCTATAACTTATAGTTGCTGGAATATAGGTCTTCACCATAAATTATCATGAAAAAACTAAGTCCAACTTAAGGAAAAAATACGGAAAAATTTGAATTTTTTTTTTCAAAATCATACTTGGGATATAAATTTTTATCCATACTGAATATTGTGTCCAAATTTCAAGAAGACTGAATAAAATTTGAGAAAGTTATTGCAGTTTATAAAACTTTGACATTTGGGTTAACCAAAAGTTGGACGCCGACGACGACGACGACGGAATCTATGGTCGCTATGTCTCGCTTCGCGACATTCGTCGCAGGCGAGACAAAAACCAAAACGGTGAGATACTTATAATGTTATTTACGTATAATTAGCCTAGTTAGAAATCTCCTACCACACTGGACGACCTAAACTTGTGTTTCTGAAGAATCAGCTGTTTTATATTGATGTTTACATATTGTATTGTTATGATTATGAGATGCCGCACATACAATAAATGCTGAGTATGACTGATCAATCATCTTGAGTATCATTCAACAAAGAATCTACACAGATTGGTGCCTGGTTGTTTAACATATTAGAACAAATTTAATTACTGGTACATCCTGACAAAAGATGATTTATTTAGAAGATAAACTATGGTCTATATAGACGCTGAGGATTCAGAAATACTAGCCACCCCTGGGGTAGCTTACAAACTGGTGTCAGAAGTGGGATACTAAATTATTTTAGTGTCCTGATACGAGCCCATGAGCCGTCCAGTGTGGTAGTTTAACATCAACATTACAGTCTTAGAAGATAAGATGACATAGATTTAACATTAGAATTATTACTGCTTATTTAAGACGACATAAAGAAAATTAAGATGTCAGAATCCGGTGAGTCGGTCGATCATGAAGTCGAAGTACGCGTGCCTCAGTCGGTAATGTTTGACGATGGCGGTCAAGGTGACACGTATGACGAACATCAGAAGTCGAGTAATGAGGTACTTTTAGAAAGATCGTCTCCCAGAGGAAATGAAGACAATCATGGTCCACCTAGTGCCTACAGTGGTTTTTTCTGGAAGACCTGCTCCTCAGATATTTTCAAGCCCTATCCAACCTGTAAATTACACGATGAAACCCGAGTCCTATGATGGTACTGTAAGCTGGGAAGAGTACATCTCACATTTCAATGACTGTGCAGAACTAAGCCTATGGACAGAGAGAGATAAGGT